TGGTGCATCTTGGTGCTGTTTAATTATATCACAGGGTTGCCTGGGCACGAATTTTCATCCGTGGTATTTTGTTGGCTTCATATGATTTTTTCTGAGATAAATGGCATGGTTACCATGGTGTCCCCATAATTATATTTTATCGTCCATTTCATGCACTTTTTGATGACGTTCATGGTGGAAGTAGATGTGTGGCCGCATTCCATGAAGGTGAGATGCGATGTGTTAAATGCAAATGTCATTGCTTTAGTCTGAAACACATCAGCGACTAGCAAGTGGCCCGCGTCACGTCTTATTCCAGCTTCCATCTGCGATGGCACCTAAGACTGCGTCTCAGCGATTTGCCACAAGTAGATTAGCAGTCCGTCTTATCCGTCATCTTAGTCCGCACCTGCATGGTTTGGCCGATGTATTTTGACCCTTCTGTTTTTGTTACACTGCATGCTATTTCGCAGTGTTTTGCGTCTGTACCTTTTAAATTGTCTGCCGATGCTGTGAGTTTCTGTCGGCTTTGAAGTGCAAATGATGTTGATCATTCGAAAGCCCAATATGTGTGCTGTTTAATCGTTTTGACGGAGGCCTTTATCATCTGAGATTCTTGAGAGCAATTACTTGGTGTCAATTCCCATAACTTACCTTGTGAACAACCACCTTTTAATCACAGTTTTCAGTAGATTTTGTGGACGTGGATGTGTGTGAGAGATTAGTTTCCGCATACCACTTTTTCGCAAGTAGGTTTGTCAGATAGTTGTTAAACAACTGTCACCGCCATCTTTACCCTTCTTACATTATCTAGACGCACCCCAACCTCACCAGTGGCCACCGCCGCCTAAGTCAGCTAGTCGCACTAATCCAGACTTAGTCTGATGGTTCTGGCTGCCTGAGGATACCAAGTATTTAGCTTTTAAATAATCAATGCAGACCCTCCAGGCGAACTTGATTGCCAACTGCATGTTTACTCGCTTAAAAACACCATCCGTATAGACTGGAAAGCACTGTTAGTCCTTATCCACTCTTTTCTCATACTTGTCAGTTCAGCCGTCGTTTTCGATGATGTCTGCTCTGTACTCCACAGCGGGCTGGAAGCAGGGGCGGCGACCTGTGCGTGAATCAATTTATTGTGATCTTGCACCTGGGCAGTATCTGCCGTAGCCTTCCTCCCCCATCTGTGCACGGTGTGATGAGAGAGTCAACAAAACCCGAGGTGGGAGAGGGCGCGGGTGACTGTTAGGGCAAAAACCTCACCTAACGCTACCCCTCCATCCCCGATCCACAATATACACTAGACAGGATTTTACGCAATACGAAAAAAGGGAGCAGTTCGGATCCCAACACTGGCACGGCGTGCGTCCCCACCTGGGCGTGCCGCGACGCCCTAATTTTTGCATTTGTAATGGGTGTGTATTCTCAATAACGCCTGCAGGACCCCGATCTGATCTCTGTGTTTGTCTAGCCCATCCATAGCATGACCCGTTTCAGGAGCTAATACGTTCCGCCACACGCGCTAACGTACGGTTACCCTTCGCCGTTGACACTTAATCCTCCATCCTCATTAGTTAATCGGAAAATAAGGAAGTTACTGATGACACTTTAGTAGCATGTTTATTTATACTTTACCACTCAGCTGTCGTGTTTTCTGCATTTTTCTCAAGAGCACCTATTAACGCCAACGTTACTGAACTTTATGTTCCTAAATTATGGAACCAGTCCTGTTAACTATGACGAGGACGATACTCTCCTTAGGGTGTTTGAGATCTTTGCATACCCACATCCAAAGTAAGCCTGCATGATCGTTAATTTCAGTCGAAATTCTGCAAAGCGTATTGTACAATTCATTATGCCATGGTGAACTTTACAGTTCCCTTAAAAGTTAACATGTCCTTTTTTGTTTTTTATTTGCTTTTCTCTCAAGTGTTAATTTTGTCAAAATATTATGTGCCTAAGAGACTGGACGGATCCGGCTATTTCTGTTCTAATCTTACTCATTTGTTATAATACCACTCTAAGTTTATTTCGTAGAGTGATCACTAAAGTCGTGATTTTGAACTAAGGGTGAAAGAGAGACTCCTTGTGTCTCGTTGGTTACCATACCCTTTGGTTATCAATATCGCTGTCCTAGCGATCGTGGCTCCTTCTTCAAGACTTCTTCCTCGGACTCGTCTCTTCGCTTCTATTGGCAATATTGAGTTGATTAGAAAACATAGTTGGTCTTGATTTTCCGGGGAGGTTTATGGCATACTGGGTGCCGCAAGGAATTCAATGTGTGCCAGGAAACGAGTCCAGAATCCGTTACTGTTCTTTTTGCTTTTCTCTGGAATTAATGCGCAAACTTGGAGCGCATCCTTCTGAACAAGGCTTCTTAGGCTTGCTCCGAAAGTCACTATGAATATCTGAGCTGAAATCTATTAGCCTCCGCGGAATAGCCGTGTAATATTCAAATGCTGCCAATAGGCCCATGATAGTATACCAATACCAAATGACTTACCACATTGCTAGAACAAGTACTAACTAAATGCCCAGACAGGCTTGTTTCGCTGATCTCGTGCAGCTGCGGGACACAGCTGTGAGCTTTTCGCTCCTCAATGAGCTCCCAGCGTCTCCCGTGTGCTTTCTGGTGTTTGAACTCCAGTTTTTATGTTGCCTGTTTTAACTTCGTCGAAAATCACAAATCCCTCGGAGTTTGTTACACATTTCTGATAAGCGTTGCAATACTAGACCATGATGGCTAAGACAGTAGTAACTTTGTGCTGGTGGGTCAGTCAGAAATCACGGCCTCCTTTGGTCATGTAATCTGCTTGAGTCCAAAAGTCCTCATCCTCATTCTGACAGGGAGGCGACTGAGAGCGGTCCGACAGTAGCGAACGTAGATAAATCATATTCCGGTGAAGCACCCTGCAAGACCACGACAGTACGTCTTTCCATCAAGCATTCTAACGTCCAGTCGTACGACGTTCGGTGAGTTTTTCGACGAAGTTGCGTCCCCATTATTAGTTGCAGACCTTACTGGTCGATGTTCCCGTTTTATTGTCTGTCCCGCATGCCATGCTGCTTTTCAGTAATTTGTAATTGTGACCCCGTTCACCAGCTATATTTTTATATTCCAGAAATGTTGATTGGTAGCCGTTCAGAGAACGCAACCCAGTAAACCGCGTTTCCCGCTTCTTTACGCAGCTGAATATGAATCTGCGAAGTTCCACCGGTCGACCGCCCTTGCGCATGCCGGATCCAGTCTCAGAGGGACTGGGCTACGACTGGGTTGCAGGACTTGTTGATAACAATTTCGCCGTGCAGAATTCCTCACTCTCGCTTTCTAGGAAACCTGAATGGCCATTCCCTCGAGACCGCACACATATGGCTTGTAAAGCCCAGCACCTTCAGACTACCTCTGGGATTTTAGCGTGCGTTTCTTTCTTTCGTATACTTCTGATTTTCTCGCGGCCGCGCTGTTGAGTTAAACGTCCGATTTTATGCGAATTTTCTTGTTTAAGGTTCCCGCCTCTTGAGAAGTCGTACGAGTTTCTCGACTAGTTACTACTAGAATACTAAATAGAGCATTTTCAGGGACAGTTTTCCTGCTGAACATTCGTTTGGAAGCCTAGGGCGAACGTGTTTTTATTTTCTAAACTATTTTCAATTGCATATTCAGAAAAGTCCCTCCTCATTACAAACATAAGTTATTCACGGGTTGCTGCCCATCGCGACGCGTTAGCCGGAAATATAGTAATCTGTATGAGTTAAACCTGACGACTACAAGGTTTGTTTTAAAAAATCCTGCATTTAACTGTTGCCACTTTAGCAGTACGGACAGAACATGACGCTCGACTTTGTCATGCAGAAAAATTGGGGCTCCATTTTCAGTGTCATCCAGCAACCTGTTAGCTATAGAAAACACTTTTACGCCTTCCGTCCCTTACGTAAGTGAATGTTAAATAATTCCCTTAGCAGGTAAAACTGCCACCAGGATAACAAAGCGAATTATACTACACTTTTGATTTATATAGACGCAGCTTTAAATTTTCCGAACAGGTTCTTAGGGAAATAAGTTATGATTTAAAGGTCAATTGGCAAACATATGTTTTCGGTACTTTATCACCAGGCCGCTATCATTACATGGAGAATGAACCTTTGAGCTACGAAAAAGGTTTATATGTTTCGGGAGGAATGATTGATCACAAGTCGTTTCTACGCCGCCAACATGAAGGAATCAGCGTGCTAAGGACTTTGGAGCTGGGTGATAGGAAGAGGGAAGGGGTAGGGTATTAGGGCTATCTGTATCTCAGACACGAGATTGTTCTGAGGCCAGCGAGTCTTTTCCTTCGGTAAGAATGAATGCAGTTAGCGTTATCTGATCGGTAACTCCATGTTGGACCCTTTTGTATTTTGCATGTAGCTCCATTAATAGGTCACATACCAGGACAGCTCACCGACTCCGCCTAAAACGTGTCCAGATATTGCACAAGTAATCGATTATTTTGATCACGAAATATTTTTGCCTATTGTCTTGGGCTCTGGGGGTGGCCGAAGATTGGCTCAAGGACGTACTTTATTCTCAGTCTCCATCATTGGTAGCTCATTCGTCATAATTGATGATGACCCTTTGCACCTAATTCTAGTTTGCGTGACGAGTGAATAGCTTTGTTTGGGAGTTTTAGTCAACGTGGTGTTCTACGGATTTTTAGTTGGTACATCCAATGATCTATCCGGTATGTTCTTTACTCCCACTCCGTGGGATCCGAGCCGAGTGTGTGGACACGCCTAGGGGCGGCTCCGGCCGCGCCGGCCGCCTGCGCTCTCTCCAACCTCTGGTCTTTTTGACTCTTTCTTGACATCAGATACAGGCGGGGGGAGGAGATTGCGGTAGATGCTGCGCAAGTCCACTATCACCATAAACTAATTCACGCACAAGTCACGGTCCCTACTCTCACCCTGCCGTTGAGCACACGGTGGACGTCGTCGAAGTCGGTGGCCGAACTGTCATGTCAAGCACGTGGTGTTTGTGACTGTTCTCGGGGGGCTGCGGTGACGTGCGGTCATCACCTGGAGTCGGCCAGGGATAACAGACTGCTTGTATCAACGTCTTTTGACAACAGTACGCTGGATTCGCTAACTGGACAGCCGCTGCTTCGGCTGTTGCTAGCTCCCGTTTGCAGAGGCCCTTTAAGTAGTATGCTAGCGCCCGGCGGATAACTTGAAAGGCTTCTTTGGCGTCGTCTCGGCTGTCTGTATAGACTAGATGTGCGAGAATTGTAGTGACCTAAGGACTTATCGAAAACATATGTTTGCCAGTTACCTTTCAATCATAACATGGGGATTTTCGCAGAAAATAGGTAATGGTTCGTTCGTCGTACCAGTATGTGGTGCTGGCTTATGCTTAAACTTTTCTTTATTGAGTACTTATGCATACCCGTTTCACTTTCGCCACTGGCATCATATTCGCATAGCAGGACCGCTTCAAGGCCACTGGGGAATTAGTAGGACTCGGGGATTAACGAGGCGCATGTCGCATGCGTGCCAAAACCATCTATGTTAGATTTGATATATTGACTGTTCAGAAATCCATGCATTGTATTTTACCATCTTCGCCTTTCTCCACAAACCAAGCAAACTTAAGCCAAACAGGTCGAGTTACACGAAACCGTTAAAAAGGCATTAAACGCCCTTATCACACATTACTATGGAATACAGTCTGTCTGTCGATTATCAACAAAACCAAGTAGAATTACTATCTCGCGAGACGAAATGACTGAATTGAGTGTGATTTGCGCTCTCGGGAGACAACAGGGTATGATTGTCTAGCGCACCCACCGCGTTCGTTGTTCTTACATATACGTTTAAGCGAAGAAGAAGAGTCGAGCACCGGAACACTTCGTTTATTGTCCTGAGCTTTCAGACTAGTACAGGAGTCCATCGTCAGAGGTAGTGGCAGAAACAGGACAAGCGGCAGTTATAAGGCACGTAGGCCCAATCCAGCATGTTGGGCGTTACAGCTCACTGAGCATGAACGGACTGTCCGTCGACAAGGCTATAGTCTCTACTTCCTCCCCGTCAGTACGCGAACCGCAGTCATCCAAACCATTCTACTACTGACTGACTGTTGTGACTAAATTTCCGACCTTTTGGAGAGTTTTTACGTACTTAAAATAACTTTCCAACATAATATGTGTGTGGCAAGTTTTCACCGGGCAATACCTAGCCATATCATATAAGTCGACTTAAACCATCGTCAAACGGTGAACCCTCACTTATTCTACATGTTGTAAAGGAAAGACATGCTATCATCGATACCACGTCGTTTGCAACTCCGAGGTGTATTTTGTAGTTGTTCCAGTTCCCGCATTGCATTTTTCTGCCACATATATCTCTTTCGCGTCAATTTTCGGCACAGTACTTTTTTTCCAGGAGCAGGAGCCGTTTTATCCTCCGCTGTGACAAACGTTGGTGTTAATTCCGCAATCCTTTGCTTGCTGGAATTAGTTCCTTAAGGTGCTTATCTGATTTTTAGGGCGAGGCATCCATTCCTCGGCGTCCGGAACGTTTCAGATGGCCATACTGCCGTATCGAACCTTCGGCGAGAATCGCTTGAATCTCCTTGTGAAAAAGTGGCGGTGTACAACTATACTCTGAATTCCCGACTATTCCCCATTCCAGCAGATTTCTTAACCGCCTCAATGGGTAGCCCAAGTCCAAACACCTGCCGTATTCTTAAGTAGGTCCTCGTGGAAACCGTGCACCTATTATGGATAGCCGAACAATTAACCTGTATATCATGATTCCGGTTTTGACTCTCCACCCACTTCCGAAGGATCGGTGTTCTGCCCATAACGTGCATATTTACGCCATTAATGTTTCCATTCTCAGTAACAGTTTTTTCAGGTGAAAACCTGCTCAAGAATCTTTAAAAACATCAAGGGGCCTTTAAAACTACGTGAGCTCACTAATTACTGGGATGTAAACTAAGTAGTAAAGGCAACGCTTCCTTGTGCAACTAGTCTCGTGCAGCTTTGTCACAAAGCAAACGACTGCGAGCGTGTAGGTTTTTGTCATCAGCTGTGTCATATGAGGTCCCAACGTAATCTTACTTGTAGGTCAGTTGAGACAGAATCGTCTTCGGCAGTTCAACTATGTCTGTCTGCATAGGCTTCTTGGTTAAGAGCTCTCCGAAATCTACCTAAACGGGCTTTCTAATGCCTTCTGTCAGCCGTCCATCTGCAAGGTGCTTTTGTGAAAGCCTTAGACGAAGGAACGGGAGAGGTCTCAACGTCACAACTTCCTGAAAAGTCTTTTGCAATTCGCATCTGACACCCACTTGTATGTCACGAGTTGTTATGCAGCGCGGTAGACGAACAGAAATGGCGAAGGGAAGAATGCTGCGTCATTCACTGTGCTTTTATGAGTTTCTCCAATCTTTCCAAGGTGTTGTACTAAAAATCAGCAACATCTTTCCAGATGGCGCGTATTCATGGGCCGACCTCTGAGCAAGAACACGTGCATTGTGTAGCGGACCTATATAATTAAGACGGTAAAATTCCCCAATTTAGCACATGAATGCCCAAATAGAACGACCCAAAAGGACTCTCCCAAGAGAACGAACGTAAGTGCTGTTGGAAGTCAAGATTATGAACGTAAGAAGTTCGCTGAAAATGGGAGGAATCCGAGTAGTCACTTGCGGTTGAGAAAGTCGGTGTCCTAAGGCGGAGAAGGATTGGTCGGGGAACTGTAACTGGCGTCCACGTAGGCTTCACGAAGGACAGTTAAAGGCGCAACTTACCGCGTCCGAAAACGATAATGCCGTGTCTGGTTCATGTTGGCGTTGTTACCTAGTACACCAGTCGATCCGTTGATAGGTCGTTGACTGTCATCACCGTGATATCGCTTGGGTGCTCGCATTGGTCAAAGGACAATAATCGCATACAGAAGTTAGGGCGATATGGGCCAGAAACTGAGGCCGCCGGTTATCTGGGTGCTGACAGGCTATGGGACGAAGGGAATCTGCCACGACAGCAAAAAATCTGCCATTGTTAGGGTCGAAGTCCGTCAATTTCAAATTGCCATTCTGTGAACGTATATGTTACTGATAACATGTTAGTAACACAACTACGCGGACTTTAATACAACGTGTGCCGTTTACAATAGGGTGTTCAGATCGCTGTCTTTCACCCTCAAAGATACTGAGTTACTGGATAACGATCAGGTTAAGAACGTCTCAAGATAACAGTTCCCTGAAGGGCCTTCTGCAAATTCTACCACATTCTTCAGTTAAGTGCAGCTAGTTGCTATGTCCTGCGAAGAGCATGCATAGATGTTAGAAAGCAGCTGCGACGCGACAATCACTACATGTGCACGAGCTTTTCAGACTTATCCATAGCATTACTCAGCCAGCGCACTATGATTTTTTTATCACAAGTTGCGGACGCCGGAAGCACGCATGCCCGCATATAGCATGCTCGAGACTGAGTTACACGTGAGCTTCGATCGACAAGCATCTCACGTCGAGCTCCGGACGAACTTGATAAGTTTTCGTATAGGGTCTTAGGGATGAGACTGAGGGAAGACTAACTGGATGCTACTTCTCAGTTTTAAACGCGGGAAAATTTCGGATTTTTCTTTTCGGCTACTTTTTCTAACAGTCATTGGTAGACCGAAACTGACCTCCTTGCCCTTTCAAAAATTAGTCTTTATTGCTGTTTAAGAACAAAATTAGATCCTCGACACCTTACAGCCCCAGTCGTTTAATTGTTTGCTGTTACTCTGACTTGCCATTTGTTTCTCTTCTCTTTCTACCTTCGATCTGGTACGCTTTTCACATGTAGGGTTAGCATCCCCCTGCATCGTCTCCGGCGTCCCAACTTCCTCCCCCAATGTGACATCGGCCCTGACAGCAGTGCGCAAAACGCGTCGACTACTGGTTCTGGGCGTAGTTTCGCTTGCCAAAGTCGCGAAACAGAACAGAAACCCGGCACAGCCTCTCTGTTGGCGCATTGTTGGCCCAACAAATCTGCGCGCCCTCGGACGAAATCGGCTTACGAGATCCCCAGATCGCCAACCACTTCTGCTCCACATTCTTCTATTAGCCTAAGATCGGCCGTGAGAGACAGTGACTGCTCTACAGACTCTGCACCTTCTCTGCCCTCATGGATGCGCCTTCAACCCCAAAGCGAGTCAGAAATTCTGGGACAGCTGATTCGATCCAGCCAAGGTATGTACGCTTCGCGCCTCAATAGCAATTTTGTGAATGTAATGATCTTCGTTGTGCGCGTGACACAACACACTGATCAGAGTGGACACACGACTCTCTCGTTTCCTAACTGACAGCGATAATTATTTCAAATTTAGACCCTCCCCGCCACAATTCTGGGTGCATTTGACTCTGTGGTTGGCGTCTCAGACTGGTCGGGCGACTGCAGCGCAGTCGCCTTGCTTCCGTCTCCGCAGCTTCCTGGCAATTTGTGGGTTTTTAGGACTACTGTCGGGAGTCGCTGGAGCACTTTCTGTACAAAGACAACTTACCTTAAAGCTTCGACCTCCGATTTAAGAGATTTCCTTTGTTCTAACCTACTAAGTCTTTGTTTTCAAGCCCGACCTCTGTGCAAAACTGTCCGTTTGGTCGACATACTTGCCTGTAAAGCTTGCCTCTTATACTCCATACTAAAGTGGTACAACGCACGATAGTATCGAAATTTCGTCACTTTATTCGGACTCTTTTTACTTATGTTTGATAGGGACAGTTACCATTCAAGTTCGGTTTGTTTTTATCGTATTTAATTGTAACTTTTCAGTCACAAAGGTTCCTCTGCCGAGTGAAATTTCTCCAGAGAATTCAATTTGAGTGTTAATCAACTGCTCATATGTAGTAGTTCTAGTACTGGTTGCACTTTAAGCTCCACAATCATCTAAGCAGGCTTCGGTTAGCAAGGCGGACGACATTAGAAGGAGGTACTGATTGTACACGGAACCCGGAACTGCTGCCCCATACGATAATGATCACTGGTGAGACCAGAGTTTGTGCCGGGGGACGTTGTAATGCTCAGGTGCGTGTCCGCGGTGACGGTTGCTTTTATAAGTTTGTGGAAACAAGTTTAAGCATTTTTGTTCAAGTGGTCTGTTGAATTAGCCAATGGGTGGGCATGAGCGGTTGTGACTTTCCGAATGCGCGTGCGTGCGCATGTTACAGTCGGTCAGACTAGTAACTCTACACTTCTCGAATAGCTTCCAGGGAATTTGAATGACCTCTACCCCACGAGCCATTAAACAAAGACGTCGTGAATCGTAATCATCACGGTCGGTCTCGCATACCTGTGGCCTTTCGCAGGCGCCACACCTCTTTGAGAAGCTGCTTCTTTCACCTACTGGTGCTTTTCTCTCTTTCCAGAGCGTCCAAAGTAGCAAATACTGCCACACATCGTGTCATCGTGCCTCAACCTCTCGTTTTTTTATCATGCTCCTTTCATTCATCCTTGATATCCCTCTGTACAAATGGTATGCTGAGACACCTCTAGTCTTCTCGTTTAATTATTACTGGAGTCACTTTGTAATACCACATAAGTAGTGTTGACGCGCGTTGTAACGTACTTTACAAATAACTTTATTCATTAACAGGTGAAACTGTCTCCTCTTAACTAACCGGGAACCAAATACCTTTGTGGCCGACGAAATGCGACTCTCCAAACCAACTTATTCACAGCGACCTATTTCGTCTCGCGTCTGTTTAATCTGGTCTTACTACTGATACGTGTCAAGAGAGGAGCGAGATCGAGGTCAAGCCTGTACGCCATCTGGTCACCGCAAATCTGGCGTTCCCTTGAGTTAGCACGCCATCCGAAACGTCATGGCTCGGAAGACTGTCAACTAACAGTATAACTCTGTCCTCCGAATTACGATTCGAGTTACAATGGCTTTCTTTCTTAATGAGGCGATATCTGCGTGAATGCAGAGTGGTTTCGTGCAGAGTTTGGAATCCTCACGCGTGTGACGCTTGTAAATGTGGCTTTAATGTCGTCAACCACTGTCCCCATGCCCATCTATACTCTTTACTTTATCATGCCACTGGAGCACGATGACTGTGAAGCTGTGGGGTCAATTATGTTTGACAAAAGTCATTTTTGCTGTCAGGAATTCGCACCTAAGCCACCACTGAACCCTCGATACAACGGTGGGCTTTGTCGCCTGCAACTGTTTCCAACTGGGTTTTGCATTTTCACTTGTAACGATCGAATTATCGCTGACCAGTGGGTTTGAAGGTGGATGTGTTTATCCGTTCCTTCAGCATTACTCTAGAGTCTCGGGGCTGTGTTGCATGACGGCTGAAGCCATATTGGATCGCCGATGCAAATACATGTAGTGGGTGATTCATGTCGTTCTACCCCTCGTAGTTGTTATCTTTTTGGGCAGCTGATTTTCCATATCGTTGGCCATCCATATCGTTGGCCCCCGCAGATCCGCGATTGCTTATGCGTCAGGTCTGAGAGCAGGCTTATTTCGCAGTCATCCTTCGCCAAATCCTGTCCCTCTATCCACCACTCATGGACGGGCCGGATAACTCACAGCCAGGCTTACAAGCAGACCACTTCTTTCCCGGAATTCTATCGTGCAGTTGTGATTACTTTTAAATCTCCCCCCCCCTCTTTTTCGTCTGGTTTTTGCAGTCATGCGGAATCGTGAAGTTGTGGAGGGCACGCATCGCTTCCCTTCGCGCCTCCGCCCCATTCGTCGTCCCAGCCAACGAACCCCGTGCACCTTAGATCCTAACTACGAGGCGCATTACTCCGATCGATCGAAAGGAAGCCGGCTATGAGAATGCCTCCATGCAAATTCCAATAACATAATCGGAGGCTATGTTCGTCCACATTTGAGTAGAACAAATTAGATGAAAGCCCATAAAACGACTGCACCGCATCTTCACAACCTTCATCTACATTTGCATTTGGTTAGGAACACAAGACGTCTTATTACATGACGAATAGTTATTCATTTCTGGGCCTACTGGATAGTTTTTCTTTCATCCTTACTTTCAAAAGTTTGTCATGCTCTTTCCACGTTTTTATCTGACTTTGTATTGTTTTGCTATTTTATACCCTTTTACGTCGGACTTCCTACTGTAATCCAAACCAAGCTTTTGAGTGCTTTGACATTTTTGTAACGGCTTTTCACACCGGCTTACCTTCCAAGTTTGTTAATGCTACTTTCAGGATGCCAGCTACGCGTTTTGAGGCCACAAGGCTCTTTTTCCTGAATTCAGTAACTTGAATAGTTGCGCTTATCGCTCCCCCGACCTGCTTTTTTTATTGCGAAGGAGCATTTGCAAGAATTGTGTATCAGCTGGTTTATACAGTGCAGTATCTGCGATCCGCATGATAAACAGCCGCGTTCAGTGCTCATACGAACGCTGTTTGGCACAGGAAGGAGGCCACCGTGAGTGTGTTAGTGTACGCGCGTGTAGATGTACTGCTCAGCCATGCCACTCACCTCGCCTAGTGTCATTGTAAGATTATTTATAGCCTTGGGAAGCCTAGTAGTACATGGAAATGGAAGAGAGATTGAGGCCGACGGCGGGAAATCCATCTTTGCGGCACCTCAGTGCGCTTCTCACTATAACAAACCTGGCGCTTTTTAATCTGTCACTACGCTTTATCAGTCGTATGTCTGAGGGCTGCGAACTGACGTAATAACTCGATTCCTCATAGGACCGAGATTCAGGTGAAAATGTTCCCTCTATTTGGTCTTTATGACACTCTCAACTTTGCAAAATACAGGGGACTTTCTGAACGTGAAGCAGCCGCTCCGGTCGCGACAACCGTGCTAGCCTGCAGATATTGCTAACGCACAGCTACCATCAGACTTGGCCTAAAGCGCCTCTTGTCCAGCTGCGCCGATTCAAAACTGAGCCCACAACCGACAGTTCGACCGTCGATCCCAACGATTTCCACCGTGTGCTACACAGTAAGGTGCATCAGGCGCGGCGACCTGCGCGTGATTTAATTGATAGTGGTAGTTGACTTGCTCAGCGTCCACTGCACTCCCTCTTCCCCACTCCCCACCTGGACCCGGTATCAAAACAGACTCAGGAAGACTGAAGGTGGGGGGGGGGCGCAGGTAGCTGGCACGGCCGGACCCACAACAGATTTTTCAACAACAACACCCCAACAGGGGTCAGAAGGACGAGGATGATGACTGGGCAGCCATACCCACCACCTGTATACCCAGCGGGGGAGGGAGCGCATCTAACGTCAGGGAACCTGGTGTCAGAGAACTACCAGCGCATAACTGCCAAACCTACATATTATCATTTATACCGATTTTTTCGAATCCTGTGGATGGCCGGGAAATGTTAACTGGGGGGAGGAGGCCATATTTTTTGATTTACTTGTATTCCCATACTAGCATAAAACAGTGTTCGCGAACTGCACCAATTGAAGGGAAATACTGTCCTGCGTCTCCATGCTACAAAACCGAAATGGGAAGTTGGTCGAAGTTCAGGTGTCCCAGGGTTTCACGCACGGCACCTTGATCACCTCTGGGCCGTCAGTGCTGGCAGTCTGCACGACCAGAGCGAAGCTCTCAAAGCCCATGCAGGCCGCGCCGTACTGTCCGTCAGCACGCAGGGCGACTAGCCCGCCGGACCACTGGCCCCTCTGTGAAAAGATGAAGGCTGCGTAAGTCTTACTTGAACTTGCACACCAAGGGGAATAATGTAATTTAGCAAGTGTTGAATATTATCTAGTCTTGATTGGCATACCTACTGTTTTCTGTTAATTTAATCATCACTAAATGCGTTCCGGTTTGCGGGCAATTTACCCCAATGCATGACCGCCTTGGGTTTTCTAAGTGGCGAAAAAGCATGCCGGACTTTTGCTTTGAGCTGTACTTGATGGGCCCGCCTATCCATATTATCTCTTGTACACGTTGGAGGCCAATCAAATTCCGAATGTCTAACGAATTGGAAAGCATGCTAAGAAGCGCAAGACGCAATAAGTTCACGCATTTCTTGCCAAATGCAAAGCTTGCTTACTGTTTGTCAATTGCATTGACACGAATTTTAAACTAAAGTTGTTTCTCATTCCTGAGAGTTCGTGAATTGTACGCACCTGACAATGCAAACGTTTCAGTTTGCTTACTTGCCCATTTTACTAATATCAGTTCGATTCATA